CACGTGGCTCTGCTTACCTGGCCAGCCTCGTCTCCTCCTAATACCTTGGTGCACACTCCCCTCCACTCAAATACTTCATACTGTCTCTCTCTGCCACGTCTTTGCCTCATGTTCCACCTTCTTCATCCAATTAATCCCTACATATGCCTCAAAACCCTCTAAGTACATGTCTCACATCTCTCCTGTCATTGTTATACATTTTTAGATTGTCAAGCTTACACAGCCTACAATGGGCACTGATGGCCTCTCTCCCCTTAAGGGCAGCGGCATATGCCATTTGTCTTTTTTATACCCAGTGCTTCACACCCTGCCATGCACATGGTAGGACTCTAGAAGTGTTTGTTAAATTACCTTTTGTGCACGTGCTAAATTTCCTTGTTAATAATTAGCAATTTATTTATATTTGCATCTTTTATCTACCCCCCAGATATAGTACGCCGTTTTCACAGATTGCTCAAAGTATCACTGTCAAATGAGGAGCACTTTCTATAATATGTAAAAACCAAAAGAGAAGAAGTTTGTGCATAATATCACCCTGGTGCCATCAAGTGTGGGGGTCGTAATGAGTTGGGCCCATCCCATGTTCACACCGGATATCTGACACCTAAGGAACATGACAGAGACACACACAAGTGGAATATTTTCTAAATAAAGAACAGTTTACAACAGTTCAGTAGAATTAGTTCTTATTGCCTTGCTAGTCATTCAAGTTCGCATTTTTCAGAAGTGAGGTTGGAAGAGGTAAGAGTTGGCTTTGAGTGGATTCACATACATAAAACTTTTTGTGTTTGTTCTGAGATCCTAGAGAGTCTCAGTATGTTCTCTACCCAAGATGGTTAGCCACAGGATGTCAGCTTTTCTCCTGAAGTCCACCATCTGTGTATGTCTGTCCCTTGCAGGCGTCTGCTATGCAGAGTTTGGAGTTCGAGTCCCCAAGACCACAGGATCTGCCTACACCTACAGCTATGTCACTGTTGGGGAATTTGTAGCATTTTTCATTGGCTGGAACCTGATCCTGGAGTACCTGATTGGCACTGCGGCCGGAGCCAGTGCTCTGAGCAGCATGTTTGACTCACTGGCCAACCACACCATCAGCCGCTGGATGGCGGACAGCGTGGGAACCCTCAATGGCCTGGGTGAGACTGCCACATCCTCCTACCCTCAACATGCAAACTTACCAAGCCCCATAAATGAGTTCTCCTTTCAGAAAGCAATTTGGCAAAATGTATCAAAAGCCTTAAGTATATCTCTTTTCTTTCTTTCTTTCTTTTTTTTTTTTTTTTGCAAAGTAATCCTTTCTCTATGAATCTATCTATCCTTAAAAAATAATTCTAATGTCCATGGAAGCATTATACAAAAAGATGCTCATCACATCCTTATTTACAATAACAAAAAGTTAGAGACAGCCTAAATATTCTACAATGGGCAAATGACTAAGTAAATTGCAGACAAATACTATGTAGCTAGCAATTAAAAGGATGATTAGGGAAACTTGTAATAACATGAATTATGTTTTAATGTAATATCATATGTCAAAGGATACAAACCATACATGTGCATGTCAATAGCTATATAAAAATAAAACCAATGCAGAAAAAAAAAAGAACTGTCAGCAATTTCTCCAGTGGTTTCATCAGATTTTTTTTCCAAATTTCAATGAAAAAAAATTAATGAGTAAAAAGGGTTCTAGCCTAGAAGAGGTCAGGAAGGGGTAACATAATAGTGAATGCTAAACCATCAGAAGCTCATGTAACAAATACCATGAGACCTCAGGCTCCATCCATCATTTGCCATCCACTCTCTTTTTTTTTATTATTATTGTTTTTGCAACAGAGTCTTGCTCTGTTGCCCAGGCTGGAGTGCAATGGCATGATCTCGGCTCACTGCAACCTCCATCTCCCTGGTTCAAGCAATTCTCCTGCCTCAGCCTCCTAAGTAGCTGAGATTACTACTCAGCCACCATGCTCAGCTAATTTTTGTATTTTTAGTAGAGACGGGGTTTCACCATGTTGGCCAGGCTGGTCTCGAACTCCTGACCTTGTGATCCACCCACCTTGGCCTCCCAAAGTGCTAGAATTACAGGCCTGAGCCACTGCACCCAGCCACTCTCCATCTTGATGCCTGATAAACTCAAATTCGAGGAAAGCTGAACAATAGCTGAGAAAGCTCTGGAATCTTGCCTCAGAACTTCCAAGGAATGATCCTGTGGCTGTGTCAAGTCATCTGACTTCGATGTTCCTATCTCAAAAGAACTGACAAAAATGCTGAGCACCCAAGTACCATGACAAGATAAAAATATAAAGAACAAACCTGTTCAGTGTACTGATTGTATAGAATTTTAGGTCTAAAAGAGTCCTCCAAAATCAGGTCATTCATGTCCATCGCTTTACAAATGAGGTCCAGAGAGATAAGTCAACTTGCCCAAGGCCACACATCTGGCTATGGGCAAAAGTACAGCTGAAATTCAAGACCCCTGACAGCTGAGTCAGTGCCTTTTCCACTCTATAGAGGGCAGGAGTCCACTGGCCGTTGGGCAAAACCAAGCAGGCAGGGTGTGTTCACTGGTTATTTTTTTCTCTGCAACCACATGTACACAAAAGGACAGAAAACCCCTGTTCCCATCATTTTCAAAGACACACATTCTTAAATGTGTTGATAAAGAAAAGGTTTGGGAATGGGATGGAAATTTTACTGACTGTAAAATTAACAATAATGAAGACAAAAACAATTTTCAAATAACATGTTAGACCTAAATATGCATCCCAAATATCACAGGTCGGTTCCCACTTCAAATGTTCTGTGCCATGCTTCCATAGGCGCTATTGTAATGTCACACCATATAGCCCAATTTTTGGTACAGGATATCAGATCATCTTACCTATCTACCAAATTCTGCTCATTTGCAAATAGACACTTGTATCTGCTTGTGGACTACAGCATAGGCATGTGTAGGTGCACACACACACACACACACACACACATACACAGTTCCTTTTACAGACTTACTGCCCTTCTTAAAGCTGAGTGCGGATGCACTGGGGTAGGACCAGGAGTTTGCATGGCCCTTTCTTCCCTCTAGACAATGTCAAATCATGTCTTTCCTCTCTAGGGAAAGGTGAAGAATCATACCCAGACCTTCTGGCTCTGTTGATCGCAGTCATCGTGACCATCATTGTTGCCCTGGGGGTGAAAAATTCTGTAGGCTTCAACAATGTTCTCAATGTGCTGAATCTGGCAGTGTGGGTGTTCATCATGATCGCAGGCCTCTTCTTCATCAATGGGAAATACTGGGCAGAGGGCCAGTTCTTGTCCCACGGCTGGTCAGGGGTAAGTTTATTCCAAACACCTGGTGTGCCTGTCACACACTCTGCCTTCTACCCTGTGACCAGCCTAAGACATATTTTCAAGAAAATGCTGTTCTGTTCCATAATTACCACAGCACCCTCTTTATCACCTTTTGATCTGAATTTAGTTGGAATATCCTGAAGAAGTGGTTCTTGTGTGTGTTTGTTTGTTTGTTTTGTTTTGTTTCACAAGCATTTGTTAAGATCCTATTTTATACAAATAACTATAATAGATTCAATGTTTCGGCAACCTGCAATTGCCTAAAATTGTGCTAAGTGGCGTTGCATGTAATAACTCATTTAATCATCCTGATAATCTTGTGAGGAAGAATTTACATTCTGCTCTTAAAGATGAAAAAAAAACCAAAGCAAAACAAACAAAAAAAAACTTCCATTCAGAGAGTTCAAATGGCTTGCTGTTAAACACACAATGTAAGTGGCAGAACCCAGTCAGCCAGGACTGCCTGACTCCAAAGTCTGTGCAAGAACAGCTCAGTTCTATAGAATTATCTCTACAATCTACTAAGGGAGATAACAAGAACATAAATACACAAAGCAATAAAGGAGGCCAGGGAAAGGGGAGAGTAGGGAAGGGATGAGTTTTGCCTGGGTATGAAACTAGGAAAATAACAGTTTTTAATTGCAATGTCAGCATTTGACTCTAGGAGGAGAGTCCCACTGGGGTCAGAGGACAGTTGAGCTGGCCTAATGGAGAGCTGTGCTATAAGTCCCATTCCAAAGGCATAGTTCATGACAGGCGGGTTTACCTGGTGTGGTCTAGGGGTTAGCAAGAGGGTGGGCCGGACCAAAAGGACATTTTCACATCTCATTCCATGATCTGGCTAGTGTGGTTTATGCTAGAGAAAAATAGGAAGGTCAGAGTGGCAAATTCTTTATACTGACAAGTGGCTGTGAGTTGCACCTGGTTTCTTTCTCTAGGATGACTAAAAATACTTACGTTGTGGATTTATTGGTGAAATTCACTAGCCCACCTTTTTTTCATGGTAGAACATAAATCAGAGAATTTTGAGCTGTCAGGGACCTTAGAGGTTACCTGGTTCTATCCATTCATTTAACAGATGAACAATCTAAGGTCGAGAGAGGCAAGTCTGCCTAGAACTGATGACAGAAAGCAAGTCCAGGATTCCACCCACTTTGCTTTTGTAGCTTTTGCTTAGACTGGTTTTTCTCCAACATGTCCAGGCATCAGAAATGTTTCTTGGAGAACACTCAAAATCACTTCTGTTTATTCTGAACCATGCTATGCCGTTCAATGCAGAGAAATAAGCAAGGAAGCAATTTAAGCCAAGATTCCTAGTCTTCTCCTTATCTATAAGAATTCCACAGAACTGCAAAGTTCATCCTTCCTCTTTGAAATGAAGAAATACTGAAACTGCTTAAACCCAAAAGAAGAGACAAAGAAACACTGTTGGCCCCATTCTGGACCCCCAGATCTGTATTATCTTATGATACAAACTGTTCCTTTCCTATCATATAAGAGAAACAATAAATTACAAGAGTGAAAAGAAGGAATGTTTTCCTGGAACTCAGTTGCATTTTCTTTTCTTTTCTTTTTTTTTTGGCAGAGTTAGCTGAGATTTTATTTTGGGCATTATAAATAAAGCAATTGAATTGTTTTGTAGCTGGAGGCATGGGCAAGAGGGGTCCCCAAGTGGTAAACTCCCCTGCGGGTGGGCTGAGAGCTGGGGCTGAGCCTCAGGTGGGTCTCCTGTTCCCTGTGCTCCCCTGCACAGCAGCCTCCCTCCCAGGCTCTGGGGAAGCCACAATAGGGGCAGGCTGGGAGGGGCTGCGGCAGCTCTTCACTTGGGCAGGACGTCAGAGGACTTGGACACCAGCTTCCCATCATGGGCCTCGATCTCCTTCACAACCATGGCCCTGGTGGAGCTGGTGGAGCTGATGCAGCTGAAGGAGCTGGAGCTCGCGACAGAGCCAGAGCTGGAGCCTAGGCCATAACTGAGGCCAGGACTTGTGAGGCCCCCATAGGCCAAGCTCAGACCACTTGCATAGCCACTGGTGGTCTTCATATGGATACTTATGTTCTGCATCCCAGACTCCAGCCGGCTCTCCTCACCCTCCAGCAGCTTCCTATAGGTGGCGATCTCGATGTCCAGGGCCAGCTTGACGTTCATCAGCTCCTGGTACTCACGCAGCTGCCATGCCATGTCCTGCTTGGCCCGCTGCAGGGCGGCCTCCAGCTCGGACAGCTTGGCGTTGCCATCCTTAACGGCCAGCTCCCCACGCTGCTCGGCATCTGTGATGGTGACCTCCAGGGAAGCCCTCTGGCCTTTGAGGCCCTCAATCTCAGCCTGGAGCCAGCTGATGTTCCGGTTCATCTCAGAGATGTCAGTCTTTGTACACCGCTGGTCATCTCCGTGCTTCCCAGCCAGCGTCTGCAGCTCCGCATTCTTGATCTGGTACATGCTGTCAGCCTCAGCCTGGCTGTGGTGGGCAGTCTCCTTGTACTGCGCCTTTACCTCAGCGATGACGCTGTCCATGTCCAGGGAGTGGCTGTTGTCCATGGACAGCACCACAGACGTGTCTGAGATCTGGGACTGCAGCTCCTGGATCTCCTCTTCAAACAGCTGCCTGAGGAAGCTGATCTCATCAGTCAGCCCTTCCAGGCGAGACTCCAACTCTACCTTGTTCATGTAAGCTTCATCCACATCCTTCTTGATGAGGACAAATTCATTCTCCATCTCTGTATGCTTATTGATCTCATCCTCATACTTGTTCTTGAAGTCCTCCACCAGCCCCTGCATATTGCCAAGCTCCGTCTCCAGCTTCAGCTTCTCCTGACTCAGAGTCTCCAGGTGCCGCCTAAGGTTGTTGATGTAGCTCTCAAACATGTTGTCCATGTTGATCCCAGCTGTCTTCTGCTGCTGCAGGAGGCTCCACTTGGTCCCCAGCATCTTGTTCTGCTGTTCCGGGAATTGTATCTTGTCGATGAAGGAGGCAAACTTGTTGAGGGTCTTGATCTGCTCCTTCTCCTAGGTGTGCATGGCCTGGATATTGAGGTCCACCTTCAGGTTAACAGGGCTCAGCAGGCTCTGGTTGAACGTGACAGCGGTGATGCCTCCTATGCCACTGGCCCCACCATAGCCTCCCCCCAGGCCACCCCAGAAGCTGCTGCTGCCCACTCGGGAGAGGCTTGAGGAGCTGATGCAGGCACCAGGCCCACTCGTGTAGAAGCAGCTGCTGAAGGCCTGGGGGCCAGAGGTGGACACCTGGTAGGACTTCTGGGTCACCCTGATGGACATGGTGGAGGCAGGAGTGGAGGCAGGTGGGTTGGACCAGGCAGAGATGCCAGAAGGAGCTGAGAAACTGCTTCTTGGTCCTCAATTGCATTTTCATTGTAGCAGGAAAATGTCCTCATCATTTTCTTGACAATACAAGAAATTATTGGGTCATGGACTTACTGTAAGACTTTGGCCATCAATTAACTTCTGTGCTTTCAGTTTTTCTCATCTATTATGTAGCAAAACTAATTGCACCACATGTTTGCAAAAAACAGCAAAATCTTAGATGTTTTTATGTGCAGCTTGTTATGGTTGGCAATAGTTAAAACTACACGAGGAAGGAACTAGTATTTATTGACTACCTGTTAAGTTCCTGGCATCGGATTCCATGAATAGTATCTCACTCTTAAAACAAAACTTTTAAGCGGTGCTGTTATCCCTAACTTAAAATTGGAGAATCTTCGTAGAGGCTGGGAAACTGACCTGACATCACTTAGCTAGTCAGCTCCAGGGCTGGGGTTTCTGCACAGATCTGTGTGACTCCAAAACCCTTTCTACCAACGGAGTACCTTGTGTATCATTATCATTCTCTCTGAGCTTTCTTTAGTAAGTAGTAAGGTAATAAATCTGACATGTTATATTTCCTTTAAACTTTCATGAAGTCATAGAATCTTGGAGGAACATTGAGAGATAGTCTAGTTTCTTTTCTTATCTTCAGATGGAATATAGTTCAACTGACCCAGGCTGCGTATGCATTGTTTATGAAGACATCCTGTCAACGCAATTCTAAAACTCTTCTTAACTACTTGATTGATATTTAATTTTCAAAATCCTCCTATTAGCTCACCCAAATGGCACACCCTTTAGTTTAGGCCCCACTTAAAGACTGGAAAGAGTTAATATCCTCTGTGTAAGTGTTCTTTACCCATCCTGAAGAAGATGGAGGCACATTTTAGCATTGCTTTTAGCCTTGTGTTTTGTTCTGGGGCGTTTATTCTCTTTGGGGGTCTCCCTTTCCTTTTCAGGGGCTCCATATCCTTCCTCAATCAGGAGCCCGCTTCATCAAGGAAGGAGCTCATCATGCCAGCCTTGGGGTTCCCCACTTATACATCCTGGGTTCTGACTAACTTTCCTAACAGACGATCAGAAGTCAGGCATAAGAAGGAAATGAAGGATGCTTTTCTGCTTTTCCTAACATTGAACATTTTCTTTGTGACAAACTCTTTCATGCACACTTTAAATTTAATCTTCACAACAGCCCTGCAAAATAAGTACAGAGATCTCCACTTTTACATACAAATAACTGAAGCTTAGAAAAGTTAAAGTCACAGATCTAGACAGTAAGTAATAGAGCTGAAATTAGATCCCAGTCCTGGATGGGCCAAAGTACTTATTTACCCCACTGCCACCTGGGTTTGGGGCCATGGAACTGGTTATCTTCTTTTGCACTTCTGTTCACTGTCCTCATTCCAATCCAAGCTTACTGCCTTGAGTAGTTTTGTCATTGGTCAAGAAAAAAGCTTGGCTGGGATTGTAAATGTTTTGCTGCAATTCCATTATCCCTAAAGGAAACTTGGGGATGATGTATGTCCTAGTGAATGTGCCTAAAAGTATCATCTGAGAACAAAGGACAGCCCAGTGTGAAGATGTTGCTGATTCACCCTCTCCACACTCTGCCTGGCCTTAGATTTCTACGTAGTACATTTCCTTCCTAGTGAATGGGCCTGTACCTGTTATTTCTCACCTTTGATTTCAGGTGATTTTTCCAAAGTCCAGCAAAGTCATTTTGAATTTAGACTCGATTTTTTAAGGTCTGACACTGTCTCATGAGCATGTCATACACCAAGATAATACACACACTCCTTACTCTGTTACCTAACAATTGTCTACAAAAGTGTGTTTCCTCGTCAACAGATACATGAACTTCTTCACTCCTTAGCAAAACACTTACCTCTACCCCTGACTAGGGGACTAGTGCAGAGGTCCAACCCACTTTATTCTTCAATTGCTTTAGGTAGGATGGAATGGAGGAAACCATTGTGTAGGAGATGATGTATAAGAATAGCATGACATGACTTTCCACACAATTCTCAAAGACTTTGAAAGAGTTAATGAACAATCAATCCATCCTCTAACCATGGACCCCTTATAAACCTACTCTTTCCCCTGCTCCAAACACTTCCTTCCAAAGAAAATAGTTTAAGGAATGGTTTACTCACTTACAGGTTCTGGGTCAAATGCTTCTTTGGTCTTGAAGAGTTTAAGAACAACAAACATTTTTCCCTGTATCAAGTAACTCTGGCCTTCAGCTGAACCCCTGCTTCCATCTGCAGTTCGTCAGCCCTTGAACATTGTTGGATGTGTGTTCCCTTCATGTTATTTGTTCTTGATACTATCTTATGGTTTTTCTTTAAGCAAATAAGACACTCTAACAGCACAAATAGCTCCCACGAAAATGGTCCATAGCAATCATTTGTGGGGAATCCTGACAGCCTCCAAACAAAGGAAAAGTTGTTTTTCATGTTCTCCACATCTGAATCCATCTGTGGGAACCTATCAGTACATTCCACTGTCACTGGGGACAGGCTGCTAATAGAGCTGGGGCATGAGGGTGGTAGAAAATGCTATGAAAAGTTGGAATTTCATCTTGTCGCCTAGAGAGTGAATAATATAAAGGCTCCTAATTATCTCCCAGGCATCTGGAGACTGGCCGAGGCAGAACGTGTGAAGGCTGCCTCATCCGAATGCCTCTCAAATATCAGCAAGATGCAGGGGGCCAGTTTTTACGGACCTCACACACCGAGTAGCAGGCCACTAATGACATTACTTTTGACAACTAACTAAGCAGAAGCCCTCCAGCAACTGAGGCACGTGCTGCTTTCCCACAACCCCATTCTAGAGGGGTGAACTCTGCTCTGGATCAGCCGGCTGAGTTTTTATATCAGGTTCACTTCAAACAACAGTCTCAGTTATATCATCAAATAAAAAGGCCAATACTTTTCTGTTGCCCAGGCTGGAGTGCAGTGGCGCCATCACAGCTCACTGCAGCCTCAACCTCCCGGGCTTCCCACCTCAGCCTCTCTAATCTTCCCACCTCAGCCTCCCAAGTAACTGGAACTATAGGTGCACACAACCACACCCAGCTAATTTTTTTCAATACTATTTTTTAATTTTGCAAAACATTAAAGCAAAGAGTTAGGATAACATACCAATAAACCCAGAAATACACATACACTTGCACACAAACACACATACACACATTTCGCCCACCAATTTTATTCACAGATGCTCACCCCCAGGTACCGCACATGTGCTTTTATGTATGGAAGTCTATCCTAATTATAGACACCAGTGGTCAGATCTGAGATCTGGACAGAGTGACATGGAAAACAGTTTCAGTGGCACCCATATACAGTTTCATTTCATGAGTCTTTGCATTTACCAATCAGGGACCGTTTGCTTGCAAGGAAGAAAAGTTCATTCAAACTAACTCAAGGAAAAAGATGACCCTTTTTGCTAATTTTATTATCTTCTCTTTAATAATTGTTTATTTCATCTATGTCTTGTTAGGCCTAGTTCGGTTTGACCTTGGTAGGTGTGCTAGTCTTTCTTCTCCATTTGCCTCCACTCCCCAGACCTATTCTCCACCCTTCATGACCTGTTCTCTGCTGCAGGTTGTTTCCTGTTGAATTTAGCCAATGGGAAATATTATCAGGTCAGAAGGTGAGAAGAAAGCAAGGCCAGAGTATTTCTTCCTTGCTGCCTCCCAGCCTTGGCACCACACTGGCTGTGCCTCCACAAGGCAGCTCCTTCTAGGAATCTCTGACCCATAGCTCCGGCTCCTGCCGGACTCCAGGACACCATTCCACCCCCTACACTTAGGCCTCGGGATGACAACTTCTCAGTGTTGCTAAGTCTCTGATACTTCAACATCCCTAGTCAGCTCCCTTAACCCCACCTAAATACTCCCCAGACCTGCCTATAGTCCCTTACTGAAATTTTGTTTGAATCATCTGAGTTATTAAGAAATTCTCTTGACTGCCTAATGTGGTAGAACCTCCACATGTCCTGCCTTTGATCTGTCCAGTCTTTCTTCAACTATACTTGCTTTCTAGTTCTACGTATGCAAATACAGGCTAAGAGACATCCTCTTTGCAAGTTTACTTCCTCTTTTGCCTACTTGGTCATAGTTAACTTTCTGATAGCTAATCATTTTCAGTAATTGCCATCCCTTCTCTCATTCATTTACAGGAAAGTAGCATTTGTATTTTATAAATAATACAGATGCTTATTAATCTTGTTCAGTTTGTTACCATAATCAAGACTGCATTTGGGATCTTGCAGTATCCTCTACACTCAATCTCCATAAAATCAAGCTGCGTACTTTTTGCTCATGACTATATCCCATCACTAAGCACAGTGCCTGGCACATGGTAGCACTCAGTATACACAAGTCAAGTTCTAAAAGGAGGAAGGTGGGGGAGTAGAGGGAGGAGAGAAGGAGAAGGAGAAGAAGGAGGAGTTTGTGCTCTTGGGTGTCAACTGCTCTAGAAAAACTTAGAATTGTCATAATAATACTGGTGGTAAGAGCTAATATTTATTGAGCACCTACTCTATTATGGACTGCAGTTTACTCTATTAGCTTATTTTATCCTTGTAACAACACTATGAGCCAAGTGCTATTATTATCTCCATTTAAGTAACAATGAAACTTAGGCTCCAAGAAGTTAAGAACTTATTCTAGGTCACCAAGCTAATATGTGGCAGAATCAACCTGGGCCTGACAATCTACAAAGTCTATGCTCCTAACCAAAGCCAATCACGCCCATGTGCGTGGCTCTAGGATTTCCTCTGAAGCCTACAGTGGACGTCACATTGACTCCAACTGCCAGTACTGCACATATTTAATGGTGTCCTCTGCATCTTCCACTGAGTCTTCTGCTCTTCAAATTAAACATCCCCAGGTCCCCAGTTCTTCCTTACATGGCATGGTTCACAAACCTCTCACCTTTTTCTAAGATTGCTTTGCCCAAATTTATATGGTTGTTGTGCCAGGTCACTAA